CATCATCATCACCATTAGTATAATCACCATCATAATCATCACCATCATATTCACAATTATTATCATCATCACTATCATCATCATCATCACCACCATCACCATCATATTCACCATTATCATCATCATCAGCATCATCATCAGCATCGTCATGACCATCAATCGCCATCTTCATCATTTATCATCATCTTCATCAACACTTATAAGAACAACAGTATAAATATGACAAACTACTTTAAGATTACAAGAAATGGTGTAGGAAGTATTCGACTAGGAAAACTGCCTCTTTAGATATTGATGCACCATCCCACCCTCTGAATGCTATAAGAACTGCATGAATTTCCCGACTAACCTCAACGACTTCTTCATTATAGTGTGTTCCCGCCAAGTTTTCATCATCTTCGTGAGAAGCAACTTTTGCAAGATACCCACAAAAGCGTTACGTCTTTCTCGTTGTGATCTTGTTACCTCCAGCAGCTTGCGGAAGAAACGTCTTTTCTTGCCCTAACGAAAAACGAATGATGGCTTGATAAAGTGACGCTTCTCGTTTATAGCATGAAGTTGATTCTGTACCGTTACCGTGCTCTTTGTCTTAATAAACTTTTAAGGTTCAAAATTGAATAATCCTTTGAAAGTACCTGCACCTCGCTTGAGCGCTTTGTGTTTGACCAGTGAACCAATGTATGGAAAAAGGTGAATTGATGGTTTTCAACCATTCCAAAGAGAATTAAATAACAAAAGAAACGGCGGCCATGTTGGAGGATATAACAAAAGAATTCATTGACGATTCGTTTGTTAAGTTCCTCCAACATGGCCGACATGAAAACCATCAATAGCTTCGTTTACTCAGGGTTAGCTTACTTTAGAGTTAGAATATCACAAATACCAACGGTAAAGTAAATAATACACAACAATACAAACAATACAAACACTTTGAAATTCCACGGACCTTCACTGGAACACATGAATATTCTACGGAAAATCCAGGGTAGCCCTGAGCAACAGAGAAATCGAAACTGGCAAGTTGAATTCACCAGGAGGCTCGCAGGTACTGACTGATTGTATATCATTTTGCAAAGATAGACCCCTCGCAGCACGTCGGAATGCAGCTCAATTTGGAAGACATAACAAATAGGTTTCTATTTCTCATGGGGTTGAAATTCTTTTGTTTTGTATTCGAAATTGAGCTGCTTTGACGTCAAATGCAAGAGGTCTATAGAGGGATGTTACGAATAACGGAGCGCAATGCTATCGTCAGCCTTCTAAACTCAAGTTAACCAGAGCCTTCGAAGCTCGTGTTGTAGTTTACCTTACGTGCCATGGCTTTGCAAAGATGGCGGTGGATGACTTTTCGTCGATATCTCAAAAACCAGAGACGATAGACTCTCCTGGAACGACATCATCAATGTGAAAATTATTTAATATATAGAAAAGGAAAACGTAGAAGAAGGTGAAGAAAGACACTTAAAGACAACGACAAAAACCTTAAAAAAACAACAGCAGCAGCAACAGCAGAAATAAAAGCATTCAAAACCTTATTTTTAGAACCACCACTTCGGACTGGACACTGCCCCGGACCACAGCGGTGAGAGGCAAGCATTAATCCACTAAACCACCCATAAACAAAAGCAGCAACAGCAACAGCAGCTACGACGAGAGCAACAAAAACAGCAGCACCAACAACAAGAAGGCAACAATAACAACAACAACATTCAAAAACGAGAAGGCAACAACCATGACAATAACAATAAGATGCCAAGAATCAAATTATAGATTTACTAAATACAATCATAACTCTTACTTCTGCAGCAACTTTCCATGGAAATTCTCTGCTTGCTTGACCATCAGTTTTCTCTTCCATTGAATGAAAGTCTGTTTTACAAGACTTTTATTGTAGTATTCCTTACACATACTCTGGAACCTCTGGTGGATAACCCTGAAATCAACCATAAAACTAATTAATAGCTCTATTTACGGCAACTGGCAATATTATTATAGCTTACTTGGCATATTCTGTCCAGTTTCTCCAGGAGTAAAAAGCTTTTACGACAATTCTTCTTCTGATGAAAGAAGTTGAAAAAGCATCAGTGCAAGAACACTAAACTACACTACGCGACACCACACTACATACAACACCAAACCACAATATACAACACCACACCACACCGTACTACACTACGCTACACTTCACTATACAACAGCACACCACACTCAGTATACGACACCACACGATACAACACAACACAACACAACACCATACTATAAAACACAACACTGCAACACACTACAGTATACGACACTTTACCATACCACACTACACCACATGAACCACACTACACCACACTACACTACACAACATACGTTATGCAAAAAAAAAAAAAAAAATTAAACACTACGTTACGCTGTTCCACACCACACTCCATATTGACTGTATTTCAAATTTTAAAACATGGATGGTCATCCATACATACATATAAACTTAACGTGTCAAACTTCTAGCATGCCACAAGTAGCACACTAATCTTTGAATGAAGTACGTTTTACAAAAGAATATCTATAATAAATACTTTATCACCGTAACATACTTGGACAAATTGCTTGCAATAGAGGACTTTCTACTGCCTTCCAACCATTGGAGGAACACACGAGTTTGGAGATTATTCTCATAGTGGATCCTGAGGGATAGAATAGGACATTTTTGAGCAACAAATATTTATGACTCCACTACTCATCACTACATGACAAATCAAAGGATGATTCTGTTACCTTGCTACTTCGTTTGTTCGTGTTTTGACGATTCGTTGAGCTGTGTAGATTCTCCAGGAATGCCAGCATTTTGTTAGGAGGGTAATTCTGTGAAAAATAAAGATATATGAAGTCGAAGTGAATGAAACGATGCGAACGGCAGGCAAGGCAAGGCAAGGCAAGGCAAGGCAAGGCAAGGCAAGGCAAGAAAAACTACAGCAAAAAAAATCATGATTTGTGCCTGAATATTTCTATTTGCATGAGTATTGGATATATTGTTTCGTACTTGAAGTTCAGTCTCGCCACACTGTTGTTTTGCTCCACTTGATATCTCATTTTCCATTTCACGTATTTTCTAGACATGAAATGCTTGTTGGCCATGCCATCCAAGATTTTTTCCCTGTAATAAAAGAAGCAAAAAACTTACGCTATCATTTGGCGACTCTCAATTTCATCCAGCCATCCATCCACCCACCCATTCATCTTTCTATCCATCCATCCCCATTCATTCAATCTATCCATCCATCTATCCATTTACCCACCCATCCGTCCACCCACCCACCCACCTATTCCTCCATCCATTCATTCCCATCCATCCATCCATCCACCCATCCATCTATTCATTCACCAATCCACCCACCCATCCATCCATCCATCTATCCATCCACCCATCCATTCACCCACCCACCCATCCGTCCGTCCGTCCGTCCATCCACCCATCCATTCCCATTCATTCAATCCACCCACCTTTTCATCCACCCACCCACCTATTCACCCACCCACCCATCCGTCCGTCCATCCATCCGTCCATTCATCCACCCATCCATTTCCACGTTGTTTTATACCTGTTTCCTTCCAGTTGGAACACCCTCCACCTGTTGAATAAGGATCTCATTCTCTCACCCCTTCGCCTCATCATATGACCCTGCCACTAGAAATATAAAAAATTGTCATTTAGAAAATAATTTCTAGATATATAAATGTGGCAAAACCAAAATTCGTGGTGTTACCGAAGTAATGCGATAGATGAAAATGATAATAAAATGATTTTGGTGACAGTTTTGGAAATGAATTGAAATAAAATATAAAACAAATGCAAGAGGGCACCCATTGCTTACCTTTAGCCAATACTTCGCCATCAGCCGTCCATTAATCTTAGTCTCCACATCCCTTCTAGCTTGGCTGTTAACATGAGTAGCAAACTTAAGCCCTCTCAGTCCAGTCTCCAACATGTGTCGACGATAAGTGTCATCTGCCTTCGTCTCTTGTATATGTCTTAGTTCTTTCCAAGCAGACAAGTGCTTATGAAGAGTAACTCCGCGCCAGAATTCAACCGCTCTGTTAATGAATAGTACAAGTCATAGCAGGTCATGGTTGCGTCAAGGATAACATCTTTAAGTTCTCACTCATCTATGGTGTCTCAGGTTTGATTCCTAGACTCAGAATCTTATCTAATGCGTTTACCACTCCTGGGTGGAGGCCTTAATGCCTAACAGGCCTTGCGATCCAATTGATAAAGGCAGCCGGTTAGCAAGGCACTGAAGATGGTCGTTAACAGCGTCTTCAGTGGATCTTTTACGTCCGCCTTATACAGGGGTATATAGTGAGGACAGACGGGGCCTACAGTTTTAAGTCCTTGTCCGAGAAGACTTGAAGGTCTAACCATTTGCAGATGTAATTACAAAGGCAGCACCTTCTCAGTTATTTTAAGACCCCGAGTGTTGGTCCGGCCGAGGCTTGAACCACGACCTTCTTACCAACTGAGCTAACAGGGTGGTGGTGAGAATTACATGTGAGCAGAAATTGCTACACCTCTACCTTGATTCGAGGGTTTTTCTCCGGGTTACTCCCCCCTACAAAACCTAACAAGCTAAATTTCAATACCATCTGTCAGTAGCCCTTCCCTGACTCAGGTCACCCCCAAGGTTCTTTCCTGGTTCCATAAATTGTGAAAGACTAAATATTTGTATCAAACATACTTGTTCATCTTATTATCGCTCTCCATTCTTTCAAGCCTCCTTAGACGTGCCCTTTGATGCCAGCGTCGAAAAAGTCTTGCCTTTAACAAGAGTTGTTGATAAAGTGCAGGAGTGGTGGTTTGTTCAGCTTCGAGGACCTTCATGGCCCAGACAGCCGACGAAATACGACGTGACGTATCAACAGAAAATGAATTTACAAGGCTACGAGAAATAGGAAGATAAAAATAAAATGAAAATGTTGCAGCTACACGAGATGATTTTGCGCGTAATATGTCGTTTATCACACGCTCACACGACTTGTGTCTTCCAGTTCGTTGCAGAAGAAGTTTCAAAATTGGGGTATCTTCTACCTTTTACTTTTTAAGACTCGCCACGCTTTTCTACGTCATTTTTTTACGTGACACCCCTGTCCCCTGCAATATTTTTTTCACGAGGCAAGTTGCACATTAAAAAAAACTTGCTACAGTGAAATAACTTGTCACTCTTATCCATAGTAGGAAATAGTAATGATAAAAGGGTAAATTATACACCGTGGAAAGATGAAAAAACTTACTGACGTTTCGGACGCAAGTCCTTCGTACGTCAGTAAGTTTTTTTATCTTTTCACGGTGTATAATTTACCCTTTTCTCATTACTGTTTCATTAGAAACGCCGACGCAGCTCACACTAGTTTTTAGCTAGTTATCTCTTCATAGTAGGAAATATAGTTCTCGCATTGTTTGACCACTGTGATTGAGTAGAGTTGTTTGTTGGTTCTCTCCTGTGCTTCGAGGGTTTTTCTCCGGATTCACCGGTTATCGTCCCTCCGTAAAAATCAACATTAAAATCAACATTCTAAATTCGAATTCGATCTAGCGCCGAGTACTATATTCATGAAGCCTATAGCTCAGGAGCCCGAACAATGATTCCATGCATTATCGATGTGAAAAAATTTTCTTAAGGCTGTGACATCTAGTTAAAAAAGGCGGGAAAACGTGGCCTGCCTGTGTTTCAGGATTCCTACCTTACGTGGTTCGGCAGTGTGGGATCACGTTTGCCATTATTCAACGAATGAAAACTCTGTTTGCTTGGAGGTCCCTGTTGCTTGTTCCTTCTTGTTGCATCCATTCCATTATTCAGAACCAGCTCATTATTATACCTTGTTTCTTGTAACTTGTACATGTTTGTCTGTTTATCTTTCTCAAAACTCGCGCCTCCATTGAGGTTAGACTGAAGGTTTCTCGATGGAGTCTGTACGAGATGCTTTCCGAAAACCATCCCTGTTTCTTCGAATAACGACATTGCTGGTACAGAGCTATTGTTTTGGTGCAAGTACAAAGACTTGGAGGTATTAACTTTACTCGCGTCTCTTGTGGGAGGAGATTGAGGATGGTAGATTGATGAACTTAACTGTGAGGAAGCAGTCGTGTAAGGCAATGATGAAGACATCTTGTCATAGGAATACAGTGAGCCATTAGAGTCAACCACGTTGCTCTGTACATGGTATGGCTTAATGGCAGATGATGTAGAATTAGAGGATAATCTAGTACTATGTAGTCTTCTACGAAACTCGCTTTCCCTGGGTGCCTGACCAAGGCCATGGCCACCATTCAGATGTTTCTCTGATACGCCGTTTTTAGAAAAAGAGACTGTTTTAGCATCCAAGTGTTCCCTCTTAAAGCTATTGTCCCGTGAAGAATAGTTGCCCCTATAATCAACCCCTATAGCACTTTGTACCAAACCTCGTGGTGTCTCAACAAGACATGACTTAAGACTCCTAGGGCTCTCAATGTCAGACGCAAAACCAGAGGAACTTCTAGCCAAGGTGTCATCACTTTCTGGTGAACATGATGGTGATGCAGTCGGAGGACTTCTCGTCCTGTCAATCAAGTCTGGTGACACAGCAACTAGAGGTACATATTCTTGTACCATTTCTGTATTTTGTTGTCCATCTTTTGCACTGTAATTACCATGTCTACCATTGTGGTACTGTGTTTGACTGTCCTGTCCTGTACCATTTTGCCTACTACCATTTTCTAAAGGTTGACTGTACCCTGTATTATTCATAGTACTGTATGGGTTAAACTGGTTGTAATAAGGTCTGTAGTACTGTTGAAGAGGTTTCTGTTCACTAGTCAGAGGGTCTGGCTGGGGATATTTAGACAGGCCTGATATCGGCCTCCTGCCATCTGATCGTCTGGAAGTTGATTCTCCTTGAAATCTGTGTTCTGGGAAGGCGTGAGCATGAAAAGCTGGAAAAGAGAATATGAGTATTCATTTAAAGTCCTTCATTTGTACCATCACAAATTTTACCATGGCAGTTCACTCCATCATCATGACACACTAAGAAAATAAATAATGTAGATATAGATAAATAGAAACTACAGCTTCAGCCGAGTTTTGTCCGAATTTTGTCTGTTTGTCTGAATAGACCAAACAAACAGCTCGAATTGGCTAGAAATTCAAACTCAAAGATGGAACCAAACAGAATCTTTGTGGAACAGATTTTTGTGAAAGAGAAAACTTTAGTCAGGATTTGCTGCTTGTGATTTGATCGAATCACTGCAATAAAGAAAGGTGCGAACAAATTGCGAGCAGATCGCGGGCAATTGGTGTGATCAGTCCGCGATCTGCTCGTGATCAAATGTTTCCATGTTTCTGGGCTGTACTGTATATTTGAAAAAAATAAAAAAAGTATGCAAGAATTTCCATGAGGAAGTGATCAACTCCTCACTAATTTGAATCTAACAAATTGTGTTTGATTTGATGCAAAAATAAATAAAAACTATTATGGATACAACTCAGAGAAGTGAATCTTATCCTCAAGACAATGACACGTGGTCTGAAATGGGAAAACATTACGCCCAAGCTATAGAGGTCTATTGGCCTGTGCTGACATACTCTGCCATGATGTTCTCTCCTCAACTTACATTCAGAATGGTATGGTGGTACAACTACACCTACAGTTGAGCTAGGACCAAGTGAAGTCTTCTTAGGATTCTGAAAATAAAATGAATGAGTGTGTGAATAACGAAGGGAAGGAAGGTAGGAAGAAAGGAAGGTAGGTAGGTAGGTAGGAAGGAAGGAAGTTAGGGAAGGAAGGAAGGAAGGTAAGAAGGTAAGAAGGAAGACAAATAGGTAGGTAGGTAGGTAGGTAGGTAGGTAGGTAGGTAGGTAGGTAGGTAGGTAGGTAGGTAGGTAGGTAGGAAGGTAGGTAAGTAGGTAGGTAGGTAGGTAGGTAGGAAGGTAGGAAGGTAGAAAAGAAAGGAATGTAAGAAGAAAGGAAGGTAGGTAGGCAAGAAGGAAGGCAGGAAGGAAGGATGGAAAGAAGGAAGGAAGGAA